TTTATCTCCACCCCCCTCCCCAAATCTTCCTGCCTTCTGAATTTCCCTATTGCTGTCAAGGACACCAACCATCCTCCTAGTTACTCAGGCTCACAAACTCATTATCATCCTTAATCCTTCTCTCTTCACTCCATATATCCAGTCTTTCGTTCAACCTTATCATTTCTACCTTCTCACCATATCTCATACGTGTCTTCTCTCCATTTCCATAGTCACCACCATATTTGAGGCCCATCCCACCTCTCAGTTTATTGTAATAACCTAATTAATCTCTCTGTCTCAAGACTCTTCCCCACTCCAGTTGATCTACCAACCAAGTACCAAAGTGCTTTTCCTGAAGCAAAGATCTGACCATGTCACCTGCCTGCTAAAACAACTCCAGTGACTCCCTGTGACCTATAGGAACTAATATAAAGTCCTTAATCTGTGTTTTGTGAGAGTCCCCTGGTATAAGGGGATTCTTCCTGAGAGGACATGGGGTGCCCACTGATCCTTGCTTTCCATGACTAGGCTCACAGTGCTTCCCCAGTTACTTCCCCAGAGTAAGTACAGCTATTAACAGGTTGATTCCTCTCCTGGTGTCTGGTTTATGCCTAAGTAAAGGCCAGTGGGTCAGCCTGAGATGTCAGGAAAACAAACCCTGTAATGAGTTCGAGTGCCAAGAATAACATGTAAAACAATGGGGTCTGTTCAAGGCAAAGCTTCCTTGGCAGGGAATTGGCAAGAGGATGGAAAGAGGAAAGGAGAAAAGGATCCAATATACAACGCAGACACACACACAGTAATGTAGGCTGTAACTCATGTAAGGGCAGCACTGTACTGAGGAGCACAGAGAGCGGTCCATTCACCTGGAAAGGAGTGCTCCAGAAGGTAGGTGTGTTCACATACTCCCTTCTAAGAGTGGGATACTTAGACTCTGATTCTGGGTGGCCACCTGGAGCTAGCCATTTGCATGTCAGCATTCAGGGCAGGGCACACAGAATTGAGAAATAGTCTGGCAGTTGGTAATATAATTTTTGGGTATACAGTTGCACTGATCTTGGGAAATTTGTTGCCTGTATTTTTCCAATACTAGCTTCTCTGACCTACGGCCTCTAAGGAGAGACTTGTGGTGGCCTCAAGACCAGCAGGTTTGATCATATAGCAATGGTATGGAAATCAAGGACCAACAGGGGAACCCCATGACCTCCTGGGAAGAATTCCCCTATGCCACAGCACTGTCACAAAACAGTTGGGTGTTTAAAGTTCTTCACAACCTTCCTTTTTTTTTTTTCCAGTTTTCTTATGTTTTACACCCCTCCATGAACTATACAATCCAGCTATACTGGACTACTTACCATTTCTTGTGGGTGACATCCACTTAAAACATTGTGTCTTTGCATTGATGACCTATGCCTGAAATACTCTCCTTCCTCAGCCCTTTTTTCTCTGGCTTTCTTCAATATGCAGGTCAAATGCTACCTTCTGCAGGAAGTTTTTTGTTGTTTTCTCAGCTTCTAAAGCCTTCTCGGGTTAAGATTGCCTTCCGTCATATCTGTATCTTGATGTACCTATTTTTTTATATTTCAGAATATAAGCTTCTTGACAGAGGGTGCTGTCTTGGCACCCTAACACTTATCGCAGTGCTTGCACATATTTGTGCTTTCTGAGTGAGTCTCCCTCAAGGAGCCATACAAGGAGAGGACACTAACAAATGTGGGGCAATTAGGGAGAGACATTGGGGAAGATTGTCCCATAGGAAATGGCAACTAAGGTAAGTCTTGAAGGAAACTGGGGATTCTAGGAAGTGGAGGTAAGGAGAGCATTCCAGCTAGGAGGGACAGCGTGCCCAAAGACATGAAGAGCAGAGACCATGTTGGGTTTAGGAAACAGCCTGTTGGTGAGTTTGGTTGGAATAAACTGAGTTAAAGAGGGTCAATATGAAATAAATTACAGAAAGGAAAGTGGGAGCCAGATTGTGAAGTGCCTTAAAATACAGGCTAAGGAGTTTGCATTTTGTTCCAGAGGTAGTAGATTTTATTTTGACATCAATTACTTCCAAAAAAAAGAACTCCACCACCACCACCACCACCATCACCAAACTCCCAATAGGCCCTTACCAAACCACCAAAAAACCTGATGGTTAAATAAAAGCATGAAATAGAATGTTTGCAAATGATTGTACAGGCAAAACTTTGTGTACCTTACTGTTTAATGGAAAAGAAAGGATGTGTACTTTAGTATTAATAATTTAAGACCAACATTGTATCCGATGACCTTAGTTTTGTTGTGTTTTTACATTGTCTTCATTTATATTGTAGTCATTATGACATTCTTTTAATTTCTTTTTCACTCTTTAATCAATCAGTAAACATTTGAGCACCAGCCACTGTGCTAGGGATACAAAAAGGCAAAAGGCAGCCCCTGCCCCTAAAGCGCTCACAATCTAGTAACTTCCTACAAATCTTCCCATGTTTCTCAATTCCACATGTCCAAATTTCCTTGCTGTACAAAAATATTCCTTTACATTCATATAGCAAAGTTTATTTCAGCCATTCCTAAAACATTAGCCCCATTACGTGTCCCCAGCTTTTCATTATTAGAATGAGCAACTGCCATATATATTTTGGTACACATAAGATTCTTCTTTCCATTCATGACTTTGTCAGACATTAAGCCCAACAGCGGGGCCAGGTGGATAGAAAGATGTGAACAATTTCCTAGCTTCTTGAATCATTTCACATTGTTTTCCAAAATGGTTGAACCAATCACCACCATTAGTATGTCAGTTTGCCTGGCCTCCTGTTTCTCAGTAATTTTATTTTGAAAACTATTTGTTTATACCTTTTAACTACTTGTTTCTTGGGGAATAGGTCATAATCATAAATTTTGTGTCAATTGCCTATACATGTTGGATATCAGACTTATCAAAGATGTTTGGCACAAAGGTTTATCATAATCTGTTTCTTTTCTCCTTTTGGCCACATTGATTTACGCAAAAAGCTTCAAAATTTCATAGGATAACAATTATCTGTCTCCCACGTTAGAACTTAAGCTCATTGAGGGCAGGTACCAAGGTGGCTTTTGTATTTCTATTTCCAGTGTTTAGCATAGGGCTTGGATTCTAGGTAAGCACTTAATAAACACTTTTTCATTTTTTTTCTACCCTGTGTCTAATTGTTTTCTTTTCCTATCCACAATTGTGAATGATGTAATTAATTTTCCAATCTCTGCTAATTGTTTTGTAGTTTGATATCTTCTACTTGGGCCATTTATTTATTTGAAATTTGTTCTGGTATGTGGCATAAGGATATCAGAATCTCAGAGCGGGTAGGCACTTCCTAAGCCATAGCATCCAAACAATACCTGAAAAAGGTAACTCATAGCATCCCTTTATGATGTATTTCCCCTACAGAAGATTCTGATTAAAACCTTTTCTGCCAACCCTGTCCTGGATATTAAGGTATACAGATACAAAGCCTTGCTCACACTCAGTTGATCTAATCATAGAATTTCTAGAAACTATACCAAATTAAGAAGTGGACAGAGTTTATGGAGCGTGCATGTGATTAAACTTTTCGACATAATTGGGTCTCAATATTGTTTCTATTTGTAAGGGACGAGCCAGTGGCTGCAATGGTCCCAGGCCAGGTGGGAGAGAACAAACTGACCAGTTATGTCTGACAACTCAATTCACAATGGGATTTCAATGTATGTTCCCAATTCTGCCCTCCTTTGGAATAATGTGATGGCCAGTCAAATTTCTTTTCATGAGTTAATGTCTCTATTTCATATTCTTTATTATTCATATTTTTGTGTAGGCACAGAAACATCTTATGCTGCTCAGTTATCACTGGAAGCCTTACAGAGATGGGACTGACTTGTCCAGAAATAGTGCTAAGGATGGGTATACATTACTTAAAAGGAAAATAAGAGATAAAATGTGCATTAGAATAGCATGAGAAGTTGAACATGCCTGAGGAAGTGCTCGAAATAGCAAAGGGATGAATGCTGGAAAACCTTTGGGTGAAGATGAGAAGAAAACTTAGGAAACATGACAAATCTTGCAAAAAAGCATACTACAGGGTCAGTTAGGTGGCACGGTGGCTAGAGCACCAGCCCTGGAGTCAGGAGGACCTGAGTTCAAATCCAGCCTCAGACACTTGACACTTACTACCTCTGTGACCCCGGGCAAGTCACTGAACTCCATTGTCTAGCCAAAAAAAGAAAAAAGGCATACTATACATTAATGGTGGAGAACTGACCCACTAGGAATCTTCTGGGTATCCCCTTTTAGTCAGAGATCTTTGAGAGACTGACAGACAGTCAGAGACAGACGTGGGAAGGGAGACCCTTTCCGCTGTCTAGATCCTTCTGCAGCCTCAGGCCCCTCTGAGCGCCTCGACCTCGCAGAATGAAGCCGCTGCCACCAGGACCCACCCCTTCCCCCCTCATCCGAGCGTCCTACGGGGCAGTGACTCCGGAGGGGGCTCGGACGCACAGCGAGGCCTCATCCGCTCCGGCCCACGACTCCCGCCCCCCTCTTTTCTTCCAGGGCAGGACCCCCCCCCCCCCCACCTCCACCCCGGGGAGGGGGGTGGGGCGGAAAGACCCTGCAGCGGCGGCAGGAAGGACGCGGGGCAGACGTGCTGCGTCCGCGGAGAGGGAACACAACGGCGGAGGCCGGCAGGGCTCACTCTCCGCGGGGCTAAACCCGGACCCAGAGATCTCCAGGGGCCGGGAAGCCAAGAGGGGAAGAATAAAAAGCCTGGTGAGCAGATGCTGGAAGAATTTAGTAGTGCGCTTGCGCAATGGCTGCCCGCTGACTACATTTCCCAGGATGACAGGCGGCAATGCGTCCTGGAACCATAATCTGCTTCCCAGAATCCATCCCGAGGTAACCGCTCTAAGCACGCATGTCCTGCTTGTTCCAATTCGACTAGTCCCCACCCCAGTGGCTTTTGGGAGTCGTAGTTCTGGACTCAATCCACGCAGGCGCAGTTCAGAGGTGAGTGGGCGGGGCAGGGCTTTCCGCCCTTACTTCTTCGCCGAGCTCAGTGCAGGTGAGCTGGTGAGTGGGGTGAATGTGTGTGCGCGCACGTACGTGTGCGAGAGGATGAAAGCGAGCGTGTGAATGTGAGTGCGGGCGAGTCCGGGCGGAGCCGGCCCAGGAGGGGGTTGGGCGTGGGGGAGGGGTGGGGGAGGGGCGCTAGGCGGGGCACTGTGTGTGAGTGTGAGCTGTTGGGGGGAGGGGCGGGGCAGGGGCTCTGCTGGGCTGGGGTCCTGGGGTGGGGGGAGGGGTGGGAGAGGACGTGTCCGAAGGGGAACTTTGGGGGTCATATGGTGAGAACAGAACCTGCAGATCTGCCTTCTGTGACCTTCCGGACCCGCACCTCTTTCTCGCCCTTCGTCCTTTACCCCGACCCCACTTCTCCCCCCTCCACCCGTTGTTCTAATCCCTTCTCCCGCGATCCATTTTCCCCGTCCCCTTTTCCCCCTGATCCCCTTCCCCCCTACCCTTTCTCCCCTTCATTCCTTCCCCTCTTTTACCCCTTTGTCCATCCCTTCTTTTCTTCCTCTTGCCCTTTCCCCCCTTTTTCCCCTTCACCCCTTCTACTCTTCTCCCCCTTCATCCCTTCTTCCTCCTCTCCTTCGTTCCTTCTACTCTTTTCTCGTTTTACCTTTCCCCCTTTCTCTTCTCTCCCTTCGTCCCTTCTTCCCCCTTTACCCCTTTGTCTCTTCTACTTTTTTCCCCCTTTACCCCTTCTTCCCCTTAGTTTATTCTTCTCTTCTCCCCTTTTGCCCTCTTTTTCTGGCTCTTCAACCCCTTCTCCCCCTTGATCTTCTCCCTCTTCATCCCTTTCTTCCCCTTTATTCCTTCCTCTCTTCTACTTTTCTCCCCCTTCACCCCTTTTACCCCTTGGTCCCTTCTCTTCTCCCCCTTCACCCCTTCTCTGTGCTTCACCCTTCTTTTCCCCTTCTTCCCTTTTCTCCCCATCTCTCCTTCTCATATTTGAATGCTGTTTTTGCTGCCTAATCCGTTTTTACTGTTTGTGGAATAGCTGTGTGAGCTTAAACAATCTGATCATCGTTTATTAAGCGTCTGCTGTGTGCCTTGTACTGTGCTGCTGCCAGGATGCAAAGATGAAAATGAAACAGCCCCTGCCCTTGAGATGACATCCTATCATAGAACTCAAGAGCTGGAAGGAACCTCATAGGACTTCTAGTTCCATGCTGCCATCCTTAGTAAAAGAAGCTCCCCTAGACATTACCCAACAAATCTCATCCTGCCTTGCTTGAGGACGAAGGAGGAGCAGTCTCCCATTTCTCATAAGGCAGCTCATTCCGATGTTAGACATCTCTGTCTGTTAGGAAGTTTTTCCTGACATCAGGCCTAAATTTGCTCCTTGTCATCTTTCACACCTTATTCTTAATTCTGACCTCCTGTGACAAACAGAACAAGCTTAATCCTGTTTGCTTGTGACAGACTTTCAAATCATTGAATATAGTTATTATTCCCTTCTTAGTTTCCTTTCTCCAAACTCAACATGTCCAGGTCTTTCAGTTGATTCTCCTGTGACGTGAATTCAAAGCCTCCAGCCGTTCTGGTTGCCCTCCTTTGGACAATCTACTTTATCAACATTCTTAACTTCCAGTGCCCAAACAGAACATAGTACTAGGAATGAGATCATAATATGAAGGAATTGTTGTCTGAAACTTAGTTCTCTCTTAATGCAACCCAAGATTGTATGAACTTTTTTTGGCTGCCCCTTAATTGTGGTCGCATTGAACCTGTGTCCCATTAAAACCCCTGCCTGACTCTTTTCAGTCTTGTTCACTGGGTTGTTTTCAGATAAACTGCCATCTCCCCCATCTTCTCCATGTGAAGTTTTTTTTAACCCATGTATAATTTACATTTTACATTTATTCTTACTGAATTTCATCTTGTTTCATTCAGTCCGATGCTCTAGTCCACAAATGCATACTATACAAAATAAATACATTGTATTTGTATCTAATGGTACAGCTGCCCTGGTCACCCTTTCCAGCACTGGTTGCACTTTCATTATTTCCCCTGGCAAAGGTGGGAGAGTCGGAATACTTGTTGTTCTCTATCACCACTTCTAGGCTCTCCTGCCACCATCATTCAGTAACATCTGTGAAGGTCATTCAGTCCATATTTATTACCCACTCAGGAGTCTGCTGGGAGACACCCTCCAAGATGCTTTCCTTTGTTCCTGACTCAATTTTTCTCTCCTCCCTAATTCCTGCCTTATACTGGGGGACTTCACCGTAACATACTGATAATCCTTCATCTAACCTGTCATTTCTCCATTTACTCATTTCCTGTGACCTACTCCACCACCCCATCTTAGCCACACACAAAAATGGTCACACCCTTGGTTTTGCCATAGCCTACAAATGAACTAGCTCCATTTTGAAATGCCTGTATCTGATCACATTGTAACTATTGTCATGCCACCTTTCACTCTGCCCTGCAACCTCCAAACCTAGTCTTTCTCCTCAGTGTGACCTCTGATCTCATGACCCCTTAGTTCTTTCCCAAGCCAGCACCCCTACAGTGGCTACACTCTCCATCCTTCCCCGTCTTCACCCCTTTTCAAACAGTACAACCCTACACTTTCTCTTCTCTAGAGTGCCTTGTTCCCTTGTCCTGTCATCAATCTTGCCTTGCCAAGCCTCAGCCTGAATCATTCCCACCATCCACACTGCTTCACTCCTTATAGGTGCTATTGAATGGTTAAGAAAATTGTGACAACATGCTGGCAGGGTCCACTACAAATTTATATTACATAATCTCAATTGGGCTATGGTGTAGCCCTTTTGCCTCTCCCTAATTAGCTCACTATCCCACTCACCACAGCCACTCTTCCAAACCCCTTTATCCCAAACTTCCCATGGCTCCCCCCCACTCCCCACCCTCTCAGAACCCTGTCTCACACTTAACTGAAAAAAGTGAAAGCTATTCACTCAGAGCTCCCTTTTCTCCCCTTTTCCTCATCTCACATCACTACGTCACCTTCTGCCACTTTCTCCTCCTATTTCACACAAAGGGGTGGTCTTTCTCCTTGTAAGCTAGTCCTTCTACGTGCACCAAGTGGTCCCACTGCTTCCTGTCTTTGCCAGCAGATTTCTCACTCTGCCATCCCCACTCACGCTAATCTTCAGTTTCTGTCTACTGGCTGCTTCCCTAGTACCTGCAAGCATGCTTATGTCTCCCATGTCAAAAACCCCTCACTTTATCCATACGTCCCTGCTAGCCAGCGTCCTATATTTTTTCTCCCTTTTCTGGCTAAACTCCTTGAGAAGGCTGTTTACAATCAGTGCCTCCACTTCCTTTCCTCTCACTCTCTTCTTAACTCTTTGCAATCTGGCTTCTGACCTTGTTGCTCAACTGAAATTACTCACTCCAAAGTTACCAGTGATTTCTTAATTGTCAAATGTTATGGCCTCAAAGTCTTCACCGTTCTTGACCTTTCTGCAGCCTTCAACACCATCAATTCCCCCTTTTCTTCTGGATATTATCTCTCCAGGTTTTTGTGATGCTCTTCTCCCCTGGTTTTCCCCCTTCCTGTTTGACTGTTCCTTCTCATTCTCCTTTCTGGATCTTCTTCCAAGTTATTTCTTTTAACAATAGGTGTCCTCCAAAGCTCTATCCTTGGCCATTTTCTCTTTTCCCTTTTTACTGTTTCATCTGGTGATCTCCTCGCCTCCCATGGTTTCTACTATCATCTCTATACTGATAATTTTCAGATTTGTCCAGTCCTAACCTCTCCTGAACTGTAGTCTCATATTTACCGCTGCTTATTGGACATTTTAAACTGGATGTCTCCTAGACATCTTAAACAAAACATACCCCAAACTTAACTCATTCTCTTTCCCACCAAACTCTCCCCTCTTCCTACCTTCCCTCGGGTACCACCATCCTCTCATTCACCCAGGCTTACGGCCTAGGTGTCATCCTCAACTTCTCATTCTGTCTCACTCCTCATAGCCAATCTGTAGGTGTGGTCCTCAACTTCTCACTGTCTCACTCCTCTTAACCAATCAGTTGCCAAGTCCTGTTGCTTTTACCTTTAGAACATCTCTTATATATGTCGCCTTCTTTCCTTTGACCCTGACACCATCTTGGTGCAGACCCTCATCACCTCCCACCTGGACTATTGCAAAGCTTGCTGACTGATCTCCCTCGTCATGTCTCTCCACACTCCAGTCCATCCTCCACTCAGCTATCACATTGATCTTCCTAAAACACAAGATTAACCATGTCACTCCTCTTTATTCAGTCAACTCCTATTATCTTCAGTATCAAATATAAAATCCTGTTTGATGTTCAAAGTCCTTTATAGCCTGCCCCCTTCCTTTCCAGTCTTCTTACACTTTAAACTCCCCCCATATACTCTGCAATCCGGAGGCCAGTGACACTCTTTGCTGTTCCTCAGTCTAGGCACACTGTCTCCTGAATCTACACAATTTCATGTGTTCTCTCTCAGCCTAGAACTCTATCCCTCCTCATCTCTGCCTGTTAGCTTCCCTGTCTTCCTTCAGGTCTCAGCCAGAATCCTACCTTCTACGGATGCCTTTCCTGATCCCTTTTAATGTTAGTGCCTTCCCTTGGTTTATTTTCTACAATTTGTCTTGTATATAGCTTGCCTGTAAATAGTTTTTTGCGTGCTGTTTCCTCCATTAGATTGTGAGTTCCTTAAGAGCAGGGGTTGCTATCTTTCTTTGTCTCCCCAGCCCTTAGCACAGTGCCTGGCACATAGTAGACAATAAATCAGAGGTGGAAGCCACTAGTTCCTATGGAGGGGTTGGGAAATCAGGAAGAACTACCTGGTGGTGTTTTTGAAAACAAAACAAAACAAAACAAGGGGCTTGTTTAAAAAAAAAAACAAAGAGGACTTGAGGAGGGGGTCCATTGTAGCATAAAGATGAGAAATGGAGGATTATGTGGAGAAATGTACAGTGAGTCTGGAAAGGTAGGTTAGGGCCAGGTGGTGAAGGGCTTTCAGTGCCAAACAGAAGAATGTATATTTGATCTTAGAAGTAATAAGGAGTTGTTGAAGTTTATTGAGTAGAAGAGTGATATTGTTGGACCTGCACTGTAGGAAAACCATTTTTGCTGCTTTGTGGAAGAGGGAGGAAGACCGTTGAGAGACCATTGAGCAGTGTGGGTGTGAAGGGAGGACCTGACCTACAGTGGTGGCTGTGTTCATAGGAGAGGAGCAAACCCAGGAGGCATCAACCCTGCCTCAGAGTCTGTATCCATAGTGCTTAAGGACTTCCCTTGTTATAAAAAATTCAGAAGATGTTTACCCTTCTCCAGTTTGGGACCTCTCTCTCATGTCCATCATTTTTCAGAGTTCACTGAGGTAGCTCCACAGTTACCTCTCTCAGGTCTTTTGGTACCTTGGTGAATCCGGGCCACTCATTAGTGTTGTTCATTCCGTTCCAGTTTGAATAAAACCTATTTGTATGAGTTCCAGTATCTCCAATCTGTTTGAAATCTCACATTTGGCAGGATTGTGGGTGATGGGGGCTTCCTGATGCTCCTATTCATAGATGACATTGTGCTGGTGGCCTCAAGCTCCAGAATATCTGTGACCACTCATTAGAAATTGGCCCAACCATCCAAACGGGAGAGACCAAGTGGATGGAGAATGTCCAGTACTCATATAACAACAACCTATAGAGCTTTCTAACGTTTTATGTGTTTATGTGTATACAATAGACACATATATATTACTATACTATATAGGTACACATATACATGTGTATGCAGTGTATATATGTGATATATATAGCATATTTAGTGTATATATATACACATATATATGTATGTACATATGACATATAGATATAGAGAGAGAAAAAGAGAGAGATGTATGAGCATTCTACCAGAATTGTTTTATAACAGTGAGATGTAGAATATAACAGTCTCTGAAAAATTGCAAATGCATATTATATAGAGAGCAATGGAGAGGAACCTGGTGGTTATGTATCAGATGAAGAACTTCAAGAATAGGAGTAAAGACGCCGTAAAAAGAAAGTATGCTAGAGGGAAAGATGGGCCGGTCATGTGGTGAAGGCAGGGGATGACAGGTGGGCAGCCCCAGGAGAAATCAAGGAAGTCCTTAAGCACTATGGGTAGACACCATTTGGCAAATTTATGGAAGGATATGAACAAGAATTCCACAGGATGGACCAGCATGGATGGGTTGTGGGTGGGTTCATCAGAATGAACTTCCATGGTAGTGGGATCACAGATCCATTTGGGTATTTCAGATTGAATATTTGGCAGCCGAGGCCTCTCCAAATCAATGATGGGATGGTAAGCCAGCATCTGCACTAGGAAGGAGAACAGGAGAAGAACCATGCATAAAGCTTGTCTATCCAAGTTAATTTTTTCTAAAGGACATTATTTTCTGCCCGCTGGAGTGGGAAGGATGCTGCAGTTCTCCCACGTTTGTCCAGATTAGGGTGGTGATGGGGCAGCTCTGAAGGTAGATTCTCAGCTCTCCATTTCTGTACAGGAAATGTCCCATGTTAGGGATGCTTCCACTTTGTGGGGCTCCACAGTGGTGATTGGTGGGGAAGCACGGCATTGTTATCTGTTACCTTGCTTCCAGATCTGTGCTTTCAAACTTTTTAGCTTGGTAATGGGTTGATGGGCCGAAGGTGAGAGAAAAGGAAGTGAGGAAAGAATTGGACTCATCCCTGGACTGACTTTGGATCTGCTCATAGAGATAAGAACCTGTTCTTCATGGCTGTGACTGGACATGCATGAGTAGTCCTGTGAGCCCATACGAAGAACAAAAGTGCTAACGTTTGTTTATGGCCTGATTTTTTGATTTAACCTTTAACTTCACCATGCAAATCTCCAGTCTCTAAGGTACATAGAGTAGGTACAGTTAACAGGTTGACAATTGCTTAGGGCCTTTTGTTCAGTATTTCATTTATTAGTATGTTTGGTATCTATAAGTTTGGCCAGCAGGCAATTAGTTGCTCAGGGCTAGAATAGGGGTATAGTTTTTTTGGGGCCTTGAGATTTTAACTCTACAAAGGTAGTCAGGTGCTTTTTTATTATTTTTCAACTTTTCTTAGATTTCATATTTTGATCTGTCCTCAGGAAATTATATCCATGAGCTTTCCCTCTGATTTTAGTAGAGGATGTATCTGATTCTGGGTTCCTTTTGACCTCCCCCTCTCTAAGGACCATGGAGAATCACACCCAAATCATAGGTGGGAAATTCCACTGCAATGGGCTTGTGAGCTCCAAGGAAGGACTTGGTCTCCCTCTTGATTTCTTTCTTGTCCTTCAGTTCTGACTTCTCAAGATTCTGCCCTTCCCCAAGAAAGGAAAATCAAGGAGGAGATGGAAATGACTTCTGGTCTCCTACCAGCCAGATCCCAGGTGAGTTAGGATTTCTTCTTTCTCAAAATACCATTCCTTTTCTCAAAGTGTGGACCCTTCGTTCTCTTATCCCCTATTTTGTTTAAATGTCAGTTTTCCCTACCTCAGAAGACTGGTTTTTCTGACAGATGATATAGAATTCATAGATTATTAGAACTTGATGAAATGCTAGAAATCACCCCTAATTTGATTCACGAGGAAGTCAAAGCCTAAAGAAGGTGATGTCTTAATCAAATTTACCAGTGACCAAACCTGAACTAGAACCTGAGTCTCGAAATGCACTCTGGTCCTCTGTGTGGAATATTCCTCACTTGCCTTGGGTCTTTTCTCTGACCTCCCATCCTTTGAAAATTCATTCATCTGTTCTTAGTACTGAGGCAAAGAAGTCCAAGGCCTACTGCCTATCTTTAAAGTTTTGTTGACACAGAAAGATATACTCACCAGAATTGATTTTAAAAATAACTGTATTGATAAATTTTGTTTTGATGCATCATAGATACCCATGAGTTACTCCCAGTTGAATCCCCTACAGTGTGTAGTTTTGGAAAAAAGGTAAGTAAAACAACATAAATGAGTGGTTGTGACCAAATAGTACATGCAGCCTTAGTCCTTTAGTGGTTAAAAGAAGGGATATATTATAAGCTATTACTATTGTAGTCCAGTGTTCATAGATTTAGAATTGTAAGATACCTAATGGGTCATCCGGTCTAATTGCCTTATTTTATGGATAAGGAAACAGGCCAGAGAGGTTAAATAATTTGTTCAGGTTCTCATAGGTAATAATTGGTACAGCCAGAATTGAACCTAGGTCCTCAAACCCCCAGACCAACATTCTTTCCACTTATAAATGCTGTTCTTGATCTCGTTTGTTTGCCATTTAAATTTGTTTTCATATGCACGGTTGAAGTAATTGTGTATGTTGTCCTCTTAATTTTGCCTTTTATGCTGTTTCATATATATATCATACTATATTTCTTAGAAATCTTCCTATTTATCATTATTTATAGCACAGTAATGTTCAGTCTTTGAGATGACAATTTATTTTCACTTTTTTTCCCCATTGCAAATAGTGTTGCTACAGATATTTTTGGGCAGACATTTCCTTGTTGGCAATAACCTCCTTTCTGTATCAACCCTGTAGTGGGACCTAATAACTGGATCAGAGCACGCAAACAGTTTTCTAACTTTTCTTGCTTAATTGCATAGTATTTTGTTTGGACCAATGCATAACTTCATAAGCTGTGAATACGTCCTGTTTTCTCATATCCCCACAAACAGGGGAATTTTTTCCATCTTGAGGAATTTAATGCATGTGAGGTGAAAAAGCTCAAACTTGCTTTAATTTGGATCTCTCTGACTGCTAGCAATGTTGAGCTGGTGGTTGGTTGATAGTGTACATTTCACATTTTCAGAAATGTTAGTTCATATCTCATTTCTAAATTTTCTTTTTTTAAGTGAGTATCTGTTTTCTCTCCCTCACACCTCCTTCCTCCCCTCATGAAAAAAGAGCAAAATCTTTATAACAAATATGGATAGTCACGCAAAGCAGATTCCCACATTGCCCATTTCTACCTTTGTGTGGTTCATTCTCCGTCACCCTTCTGTTAGAAGATCTGTAGCATGCTTCATCAGCAGCTTTCAGGAATCATGGTTGGTCACTACATTGACCCCACTCTGAATCTCTCATTTTTATTTGATCTGTATGTGTGTTTGTGTGCGTGTGTGTGTGTGTGAGAGAGAGAAGGTGTCCAGCAGAAGCTTCCTGTTTCGATTGAACTGAAGTAATTGATTTTACCTTTTGTGATGCTGCCTTTTTTGGATCTGATTGCAAGCTTGTTCCCATACCCTTTGACTCATTGACTTTAATGATTTCAAAGACAGAATATTTTAGAATATGAATATTCTACAGTATTCATAGCAGCCCTGTTTGTTTGAGTGAAGAACTGGAAACACATTGGGTTTCCATCATTAGGGGAATGTCTCAATAATTTGTGTCATATAAATGTATGAAAAACAACAAGTATAAGGGCTTCAGAGAAACACAGGAAGACTTGTGTGCATTGATGCAGAATGAAGAAGGCAGAATCAGAAAAAAAAATATCCACAATGACTAAAACACTGAGAATAAAGAAACCAATAGAATAGCCAAGCCTAGATTAAATGCAAGGACCAGTCTTGTTCCAAAGGACAGAGTAAAACACATCTTCTTCTTCGTGGAGAGATAAAGGACTGTGGTTGCAAATGTTTCAAACTTTTGTCAGATGTGGTTGCTGCTTTGGTTTGGCTTTATTTGTTTTTGTTACAAGAAAAAGTAAGTTGGGAGGGAAGTATATCAAGAAATGTCTGGTATAAAAAAGGGCATCGATAAAAACTTTTAAAATTATCGGTTATCTATGGTTGTGGGAGAAACTTTCATTATCTATTTTTTACAGTTTAACTTGCATAGGATTTATCTCTAGAATTTATTACAGCGTAGCCAAATCATGCTGGTTGAAGCATATTTTCATTTAAATTGCTCTCCAGTAGTTTCAGTAGTCCATGAATAAAGAGTTCTATATCAAGTACTATGTATTCTTAAATTTGTTAAAAATTAGATTGCTACACACATTTCCTTCTAACCTTACTTATCCAGTCTCTTCCACTGGTCACCTTTTTTATTCAGGACCAGATAGAGTTGATAATTACTGCTGTATAATGTAAATTAAAATTTAGCAATGCTACTTCTGATCTTAACATGCCTAGCATTGGTTTTTATTTTTCATTCTTTCTTAAAGAATTCTTGACCTTTTGATTCACAGAATGAATTTTATTATTATTTTGTCTAGTTCCATAAACTATCCCCTTGGTAATTTGAATACTGTGGCGTTCTGTTTTTAGATGAATTTGGATAGTGTTTCCTTTTTTCCCCTCTATTTTATTGCAGCCTAGCCTTGAAAATTGAGTTCTCTTCATTTATTTATGACTTTTTTTTGAACCAGACCTGTGATTTCATTTGTATAGTGAATTCTTGATGATTAAATGCTCTCTGCTAATGCGGACTGGCACCTTCTATACCACTTATTACCTTAGAACACTGCCTGGGGTTCTGAAAGGTAAATGTACCTGCTCAGGGTTACATTGCCATAATGTGTTGGAGGTGGGACTCGAGCCCAGATTTTTCTGGCTCTGAGCCCAGCTCTACGTCCATTAGGCTAGTCTGCTTATACGTATACATATATAGGTATATATACACACAGGTGTATAGATACACATTTATATTATTATAAATACATAGCACATATTACATACATTTTGTGTGTATGTGTATGGATATGTATACAAATATATATGTATAAATGGTAATCTCTAGGCAGTTTTTTCCCTTTCAAAAAGGCTTCTGGCAGAAGTGTGCCCCAGGAGTCTTTGTCTCCACCACAAATGAAAGACAGGGATGACAGAAAATTGAATAGACCCAGACACAGAGGGAGCTGCTAACTAGGGCTTATGAGAGCTGAAGCTTACCAATCCTGCCTTTGGTTCTTACCCCCAAAGAGACAGCCGCTGACTGAGGTGCACTTCTCAGCCCTGGAGAGTAATACCAGGTGGCGAGTAGATGGAGCAGGTCTTGGCAGAACCTCCGAAACTAACAAAGATCCAGACTAAGACCAGTCACAAAATCCAAGAGAGATTTTCCTCGTTAACGAGGGGAGATGGATTTGGGTTGTTCTGAGCATTGTTCCAGTTACGCAAAGCATAGACACACACTTTTATCCTCAGTGAGTATTACTGTATCAGCAAGGAAGATAACTGCAACAGCCAGAACATTTTGTGAGTTTGGGGCCTATCCTGGAACATATTTCTTCACGTACAATTTCTGCAGCCAAAATGGCTGAACTCTATCCGTTTGCTAATGTTGATCTTCGTTCCATGTAGTCACTTATTCTCCCTTCTTAGTATTTTCTATCCAAAACAACCGACCTGAAACATTGTTTGAAGAGAGATAATTTAAAAATTGACAGACTCCCTGAAAGCCCTGACCAAACAAAAGATGTGGATGCGGTACTCTAAGAAACCATAAAATAAAACTGCTTACATCTATTAGAACCAGAAGGTAAAGTGAAAAATAGAAAGCATCTCCGATCGCCTACTGAAAGAAATCCCCAACTCAAAACATTTGAGAATGGCATAGCCACTTGGTAAAATTTCCGAGTTAAAGGAAAAAATACTGCAAGGAACCATATAGAATCCAAGAACCAAGGAACCACAGTCAGGATCACACAAGACTATGCTATAGCTGTAACAAAGGTAGAAAACCTTGGAATATAGCATTCTAAAAGGCAAAAGATAATGACTTATGACCAGGAGTAGCTTACCGTGCAAAGCTTGAACATAATCCTACAGGGGAAATTTAACTTTTGATAAACTAGAGGATTTTAAAGTAGTCCTAATGAAAGGACTAGAGCTGAGTATAAACTTTCAAATACAAACACAAGAGTCAAAAGAAACCTACAAAGATAATGTATTTGAGTAATTAGAAGGGGCTAAAGAATGATGAAGTATTTATATTCTACTAAGCAGGGAAGAAATGAATAACCTTTTAGAATCCTAATGTCTCCAGGGGTGACAAAGGTATTCAGGTAAATAAGATAAATACAAGGGTTGGGGGTAATTTTTTTGGTTTTCAGAAAAAGAAAAAGGGGGAAATACACTAGGGAAAAACAATGAAAAGGGGGGAGGAATTTACTATTTAATGTAAATGGGGTGCTCAAGAAAAAGAGTCTACAAATATGGACAGAAGGATAGAGGAGCATGCTTCTCATGACCTCATTCTTACCTGAGCCAGAGAAAGAAAAGTGAACACATACATACAATAAATTTAGTGCAAAGATACGTTAAACTCAACAAGAATACCAGTAAGAAAAGGGAAGGGAGAGAGGAGAGCACAAAAGGGAGAATAGAGTCAGGGAGGGGATACTCACAGGCAAAATAAGCTTCAACTTTGGAGAGCTGATCATAAAGGA